AAGAGGGGAAGTAAAGCACGTTTTGCAGTTGACACTGTGGCACCCACCATAAGTGGTGGGTAAGCCTCTTTTAACTTCTTTCTTAAATGTAAAATTAGCTGATTTGATCATTGAACTCGCATTGCATGTTGCCACTTTCATCTCCTTTATCTGGGATCAGCCACCGCTCTATTCCGCTTCGGTCCCATCCAGCATTCAGCCACCGTTCTGTCCGATTGTAATCCTATTAGTCTCAAATCCCCCTAACTATCATTTCTCAATACCGCTCCTCTCAGCAACCTCTTCCACTGCATCCTGTCCGTTGCCCTCCCTCATAGCTACTCATCTAAGTATTCCATCCTCAAGGCTATGGTACACCGCCCTTTCTGATCACCGTAATTTGTCTGCTTTACCTATCCAAAGGTTTTAATGCCTCTTGCAGTTCAGTTCTTCTGTATTATTGTCGTTTTTCCATAACTTCTCCTTTTTTAATTCCTACAGAGACTAAATTCCATCCAAAAATCAGCAATGGTCAAGCAAAAAACATTTAGCTAATTTTCTACTGCCCCTGAGGTTATCAAATAATTTTTCCGCACATCCCTTAACAAATATTTGCAGATTTAAATAGACGTTTTCCAAAAAACCCACTCTCTTAGCTTTTCACGTGGACAGCATAGTGCAGACGTTAATTACACAAGCATTGGCCGTTTGGGTGGGTAAATGGGTATAAAGGTTAGTGTGGGGGCTAGGCACTCGACTACTTCCAGCAGTCAGCAAGTCATCGCATTATCACTCTCTTCATGCAAAACGCTAGAATGCGGGTTGAAATCGGAGGTACAGAAGTACCTCGTGAAGAGTGTTGGCAGTAATCCAGGTGAACAAACTAGTAAAACACCTTTCTCTTTCGCAAATCCAGTGGATACATACAAGCTGGAGACCTCTCCTCTCTCCTCCTTTACATTTAAACGTGCCTCATCTCGGATCGACATATGGCACTTTCTTTTCAAAATAACTCATACATTCAGAAGAACAATGAAAACATTGTCAACACCGCCAGTCGATTACTCGTTCACACCGCCACCCATCTTGACCGATTCGCAATGTTACACTTCATTGAGGAGAGATACCATTTCCATTAAGGGCGCTTCTCATTCTAGTCAAACAGTTCAACAACATGTACTTCCCCTCCACCTTTCCCCACCTCCTGCAACTTTATTTGCATCGCAAAGTATGCAATGGATAAAAGACGGCCAGCAGTTGTCACGCGGCATTTGTAGTGTCACGATCCATTATAATTGTACCTGACAGATAAAAAAACATCTATGCCATTAAACAAAACAACGCTTGTGTTTGTAGTCGCATTTGACACTAAGCTAAAACTCAACCTTTAAGAGGCCTCATGAGGGCAAAAGAGACCATGACATCCTAGGTGGCACCGTTATGGGCAGCTATGCAATTTTCGTTCATTTAAAATTTTCTATGATTCAGTCTGACCATTTTTGTGGCAAATAAGCTCAAAGTGAAGGGCTCATGGCCTCACTTACATGGTTTTGATCGTTTTGCCTAACTACACCTTCTAGACGGGTAATGCCTGGTGTAGCGTAATAGGCACTTCAATGAAAGGCGTTTTTCGGCATCTTGGTGACAAGTCAACAAATACAACTAGACAATAACACACTCCTCTATTCATATCAGTTCCTTTAATACATGTATGTTTGAGCAGAGCGTTTGGGTTACAAACGGACAAAGTAAGCCCTCTTCATGACCGCAAAGGTGTCACGAAAATCGGTAAGGCAAGGATATAACGCCTGTGAAAGTCCTACATAGCCAAGAAAACCTGCGCGGAGAAGATTGCAAACGTCAGACTATGGTTAAGTAAAGACTGAACAATTATTACCAATTTCCATAAACACGACAGCATAAAATCCCAAGCAAACCCAGCTCCTAGTAACACGGACCATCAAAGGATTGGAAAAGCGACCAAACGAAGGAGAGAAATACGACATGTGACCTTTAAACATAGTTATTCTTGCCACTTTTCATTCCGACTTGCGAAGCACACTTGGACGACTATAGTGGTACTGTAGAAGACGGACTACTTTATCGTGCTTAAGGGGCACGCAACCTTGCACAAATACGCATACGATAGGTAAACACATTCTTCTAGATATAGAATATTGCTTTGGTTGGAAGCTTGCATGCTCACGTGCGTCCATTCATAAGCGGCATTTGGAACCAAGACTTTCCCAATCAATGTGTGTGAAAACGAAATGCTAAATCGCTCATGGATTGTTCTTGATACCTCACTCTTAGCTTATTTTAACTAACACTGACATGCAAGTCTTATTGCTTAAAAACAAATTATTACCTTGAGTGTGATGCATCCATTTCTGGGTGAGTTTTCTGGATGGCATGTTGTACTACTGCTACTTTACAACGATCCTGCAGAAAGAATTCGCGAAAAACTTCACAGCTTTAGTCACTTTTAAAAGCCTAAAGCTAATGTTTTTCTTAACAATGGGGACAGAAATACTTGCTGCAAAAAATGACGAACCATTCCAAATCGTATCAATACAAGCAGCAGGGTCTGAGCACATTTTTTCACTCCCAAATCAAAGCAAAATCAGTGGAAGCATACAGCTTTACCAAGTTTTCAGCACCATGCCGAAGTAAATCAGACTGTCCTAAGATGATTCAGACGCACTTACAAGTGTTTGTGCACTGATCCCACTTTCCAAGTGTTAGCTGAAGGCTGAAGCGTGCCCATAAGTGTTCCAAAGGGCTGTACCGAAATACATGTTTGCAATCCATTAAACGGGCTCATTCTATTGATAGGCCCACAATTCGAGGTTTCACTTGAATGTCAAGTAAATTATTGGAACACACGTGGGAAGGAAGTGCAACGAGCGACATGGTAGATGGATGTATTCCGTCAACGGTATGGCAGAGTAAATGCAACAGAACTTGAGGAGGTTGGACAGACCGGTAAA